CACAGTTCCCTATTTTAACATTATTTAAAAATTTCATTTTCAAAATGTCGAAACTACCAATTAACCAGCACTGTTCTTATCAATAAATAAGAAGATGAGTCGCACCTCCTTAATCTGTAGGACATTTCTTACAAGTTGATTGTTTCCCCAGTAATTAGCAAGAAGATCTGGAGTCTGCATGCAATTATTTATTGTTGCTTAGATCTGTACAAAATTATTATTATTATTATTATTATTATTATTATTATTATTATATATTGGTTTTATATAAAGGACTTAACTATACAATTATTATCAGGCGAAGATTGGAAGAGGAAATCTGGTGAGTTCTCTTCTAGTGATCTGTGAAGGTGTAACAGCTCCCCTGAAGGTTCATCAAAACATAGGGGTTCCAATATACCAAAAACATTAATTTCTGATAGAATCTGCGAGCAAATTAATGCATGAAAAAAAAATTAGCCTCTAAACATAATTGTATGAGACATATACACCATAGGAACAAAGTTGATGATGTAGCTTACCTCATTAAAAACTTGGAGATGTGTTTTACAAACCACACCCTGAGGCTGCAGGTAATCCTCACCCACGCAGTTCGTCTGAATAAGCTGAAATAATGGAAATCATAATGTTATTATATAAATAAACGTTAAGAAAACTAGATGATGAGATTTACTTTATAATAGTTGAATTATTATAAAAACCTCATAAAGTTCTTCAGAAATAATTCCTAATCTGTATGCATGAGCTACTCGAGAGTTCTTATCTGCCTTTTCGCCTGTTATAGCGTTGCCAATCATATAACCCTGATAACATTCCAAACAATAATAAAAAAAAAAAAACATTGTGCAATATTAATTAGGGTTCTCAATTCAACTTAAAGCTTTTTGAATCAATATTAATGCTTGAAAATCCATACCTTAATTCTGATTAATGGCTTTTGACCTTGCTCATTTTCTGTCACAGAGCATATGATTATGATAATTAAAATTTCTTCGTGAGCTAAACAACAAGATTAATTAACGTTTA